TTGAAATAGAAATATCATTTGAACTTTCGCTTTCGCTTTCATAATTCGCCATTTTGAGAGAAATATATAAAAAGTAATTTTTTAGTGTTACCATACCCGGCAAACATAAAAACACCGTTTCTAACCATTGCCGGGTATGGTAACACTAAAACATTACAACTAACCTTATATATATTATAATATAAAAAAACTTAACGTTATTATTTTTTTTTAAAAATTCTATTCTTATAATATAGTACCAAAACACAAAACAGCAAAACAGATAATTTTCTTGATGTGTTTATAGTAAAATAATTATAGATGCATCAAGAAAGTAACTTGAGTAACTGTTTCGGTTGATGATCTACATGTTTCGGTCTAAATAAGGCAATTGTTTTGGTAGATCATTTAGGCTGTCGGTTACATTTTAGGATACATTTAGGATACATTTTAGGACACATGTATCCTCAAGTGTTTCGGTTGATCATTTTAGGCTGTCGGTTACATTTTAGGATACATTTAGGATACATTTTAGGATACATGTATCCTCAAGTGTTTCGGTTGATCATTTTCTATTTTTATTATATTATTCGAAAAACTATAAATAGGTTGGATTGTACCTGTTTTGTTTTTTATTAGTTGATACATTAAAACGTCCATCTTTTTTGAGTTTTTCCGTTACGATAGCCCAAACTTCAACGTGATTTTTGACAACGTTCTCACAAGCAAATCACCTTTACGCTTCTAATGAAAGTTGTGGATAGAATATTGGACTTTCCTAATCTCAATTTTTATGAGAAAGAGAGAGATATTCGCGGAGATATTCGCGATTTCTCTTCCATTCGCTCATACGTTTTCGTAAATTGCCGTTTCAACTTCAATCGATCAGAAGAGAATTTTCTTCAAATGAAACAATCTTTACGTCTCTAACAAAAGTTATTCGGATAGTTTTCAAGAGCTAGGATCTCAATTTTCAGTTTAATTGCGTGTGTATTCTTCAAGTTATTTACGTTTTTGTAACGAGAACTAATGATGAATTTTTATTTTTTGTTTACGTTTTCGCAAAATTGCAGACAGAATTGAATCGATCAGAAGACCATTTTCTTCAAATGAAACAATCTTTATGTCTCTAACAAAAGTTATTCGGGTGGTTTTCAAAAGCTAGGATCTCAATTTTCAGCTTAATTGCATGTGTATTTGTCAAATTATCGACGTTTTTGTAACAAGAATTATTGACAAATTTTTTAAATTTTACTTGTAGGAACGTATCGATCGATTTGGACATAACGGTCAAATGAAACATGTTGTACGATCATAATAAGGTTTTTAGAGGAATGTTTCAAGAGTTAGCCTGTGAAATTTCAAGTCAAACGGATTAAAACTCATCAAATTATTGTAGATTTTCATTTCTCTTTCGCATACGATTTTTATTTTGCAAGATAATTTTTAAACATTAATTCAAGCACTTTGTCAAAATAAAATCGATTTTACTTCAATAATAAAGTTTGTTCAGCTTGTTTTCAAGAATTAGAATCTCAATTTCATGTAATTTAAGCAAATACTTATCAAGAAAAACATATTTTTGTTAATTGTAATTATTGTAATTGTAAACGTTTAATAATAAAATATTTGAATAGTGAAAATTAATTTTTTCACCATTCAAAAATTTAAGTATGTAAATTAGATTAGATATTAAAAAATTACAACAAAATGACTGATATTATCAAAAAAAATAATATTCCTTTTGAAAGAAAATTACATCGTTATCTTAATTTTAATACATATTACTTTGATAGACAAGAATTTGATACTCTAATTTATAATTATTTTAAAGATGAAAAAACAAATCCGTTCAGGTATTTCTTATACCAGTTTGAAAGAAACTATAATCCTCAAGATGAATTTGAAATTCATATTCAGGGTTGTTTTATTTTACATAATCAATCAAGATTAGGAAGTTATCTTAATGTTGGTGATAAGAAAAAAAATAGAATTTTAAAGAAAGCTGAGCATTCGGGGGTTAAAGGATTATTGAAAATTGATAAGTTTCATTTCGATCCAACACATGCCGATTTTGAATATTCAGTTGCTTATAATAAGAAAAAATATAATCGTTGTTTTAAACATCACAATCAACTATCAAATTCAAATGATCCAAAGAGTAAAATTATGAGATGTAGATGTAATCTTCAAGTTCTGAATGATCA